ATTTGAACCCTAGATATGGTCAAAATGAGTCCCCTCCAACAACGAATCTACACCATTCATTTGGTGAATTTCAAGATCTTAGCCTTTACATACTCAAAATCATTTTTTTCTTCTTTAACACTATTCATCTAATGATAATAAAGCCATCTAAAGAAATTGGAAAAGAAAAAATCCTTCTAAGGCCTAGATCTAAGAAACTTATTTTAAAATTTGGATCAAACATATGGTCTTAACATGGTTTTTGAAGATTGTTGCATTATACTATGATACAACCGTTGCATGAGATCACATCTCGCCGAAATTGTAGCACTGGTGTTAGAAAACTCTCAAATTAATCATCCTGACCTTGACTATTTTGGATGTGCGAGAAAATAAGGATGACAAGACCTAAAAATATTGTATCTTGTAGCACATTATCTAGACATTCCATTTCTAGTGTCCACCGATCCCCAAGATCTATACCATTTTTGGATACTCAAATTTTACAATCAGAGGTGGAAATAGATTTCCGAGCCATCTCAGATGTTTGTATGTTGGAACTGCATTTTCCAGTGAGGTTTTGAACTGAGGCTTTACTTGTTCCCACTAGGCCTTGTAGAAACTGCATCCCCACCTAAGGTTTAGGGTAATCCACTCTTACAGTGAGTGCACAGTCACGATACTCTATGGTCATCCTCTTCCTCTCCTTGGGAACGACGACTGTTATCTCTTTATTTTGCTCTCCTTCCGGTTATGACATTCTTAATATGTATATTTCGTTGTTTTATCCATGTGCTATCACCATTTAAATTCCGAATTGTAATTCTTTTCATGACTAATTGCTAATCGTCAATGTAGCTCTCAAATGCCGGAGGGAGGTTAATAATTGCTTCTGATGGAATCTGGGATGCTTTGTCTTCTGAGGCAGCTGCAAAGTCTTGTCGTGGTTTGCCTGCCGAGCTTGCTGCCAGGCAACTTGTTAAGGTGATTCCATATGAGTCTGGTTCTTTGGTTTCTTTTTTTGCCTTTTTTTTATGTGCGTGTGTATGTGTGCGCCTGTGCACATGCACGTGCATGTGCCAATGCATGTACGTGCACGTATGTGTGTATAATTCTTTTGGGTGATTGATTAATGTGTTTGATGAGGAGGTCATGCTCATGAAAAACATGGTATCTTCCATCATGGATCTGCTTTAGTGCTCCATTCATTATTTTTCTTTGCTTCCATGTCATATGACATCTTAAATAATCTATTTGTGAATGACTAGTAAGCTTGTATCTTGAGGCATGTATTGGTGATTATTTAGGAAGCTTTGAAGTCGAGGGGGTTAAAAGATGATACAACTTGCATAGTTGTTGACATTATTCCTGACCATTCCCATCCACCTATGGTGCCACAAAGGAAGGCAAGGAATTTATGGTCTCGTATTTTCCGAAAGAAGTCTCATGGTTCAGTGAGTGAACTATCAAACAAGCCTTCTTCTGATGGGGTGGTAGAGGAACTATTTGAAGAAGGATCAGCAATTCTTGTGGAAAGGTTTGTCTCTAGCAATTGGATATTCTGATGAACAAACCATATTTAAAGTTCTGCGTGGCAGCTTTCTCTTTCATTTTTGTTGTTGTTTGTCAAATTGATTTTTAAGTATGACTGAAGAAAAAGAAAAAAATTTCTCAGATAAAAATTATCATCCTTTGTAATTATACATGCATTATAGAGTTTTTACGTTGGAGAGATTTTACTGTTTTTAATTTCTTGTATGTTTTATTCATACTTGTCCACTTTGTAAGGTCCCATGTTTGTGAATTCATGTGTTCTGAACCATCACTACAATATCCATATACCACACCATAAAATGAAATAAAGTAATTCACATATAATAAACAAAAGCAAATTCAATGGTAAACCTTTTTATAGAATGATATTGTTGCAACCTCTTATCTAGTGATACATTGCATCTTAGCAATCTGTCTCCTTTATTAATTCTGAATTATATATACCATCAATAACTATGACAATTTATTGCGCCAGCTTGATTGAAATCCCCGTAATTGTCTTCAGATTATATGAATTACACACAAGTTTCTTCTAATATAAAAAATATCATCTACCTATATTGGGAATGTTGTTAGTTTGTATGCACTTTTTTTTCTTTGTGTTTTGCATTTTGCAATCAGTAGTCGTGTCTTAATTATATTAAGAACATCTGTGAACATTTTCTTAAGGAAAACACTACAAAACGCCTATAGGTGAAGTTCTACTGTGCTTGACCTACGGCTTTATCACCATTCAAAGTTTATCACAAGGTCAGAGATGTCTGATAGTGTTTGAATTTTTATATTTTTTTTACAAATCATAATGATCTGAAATTTTGTATGTGTGTGCGCCTTAGTGAGATGCACATGAAAAAAATATAAAACAAATAATTTGAATGATAAAAATTATGTAAAATACCCCTATAAAGTTTCAGTGGTAATTTTTTTATTTTATTTTTTGACTATTATTTTTTAAATATTTTATTTTGGTGGGACTTGGTCATATGTACACACGCCCAAATTTTAGATAAATTTGATTAGTACAAAAATTATAAAAATTTAAACGCTACTGGAACACTGTGACCATGTGATGAATTTTAGACGATGATGAGGTGTAGGTGAAGTACGGTAGAACTTCACCTATAGGCGTTTTGTAGATGCTTCCTTTTCTTAACATATATATATATATATATATATATATTATATTATATATACTCGAAAAATAAAAAATTTGTCAGTATGATATACTATTATGCCCTCAAGGATTTATTGGCCTTTGATTTTTTGTAATGTGAAATTTTGGTATCGCTGATCTATCATTAGTTCATTTTCACTTTTGTAGTTTGGGATGGGAGGTGGAAAAGGAAAATCAGTGTGTATGGAAAGATAGCATGAATGCATATGTAGAGGTAACATGCACTCTTAGGGTTGTGGCCGAAAATGGGGGAAGGTGTTCTTTTGTTTAGATAGAAGCTGTGGTGGATGCTTGAAGAATGGGTTCCTGGCACAGAGCCCTTAACTTGAAGTAAGTGTCAGATGGATGTTTATCTGAAAATCCTTAGGATTCTAAGTCTTTGGAGGAGTCCACAGGACAAAAGGGTGGAGAATTTAGTTTAATTAGTCATTACTTGGATATTGGAATTTGTCATGGAATCATTGGACACCAAATACATATACAGTGAGGCCAACCTACTAGGGAAGCTTAAGTTTTGAGTGCTGCTGAAGGAAACTTCGATCTTGATGGTTTACCGTGTGTCATAAAAAACGTCAATGGTGAAATCCTGAAGTTTGATTTGCATTCCTTGTATCAAAGATGATGCAGTTAAATCATATGCTTATTTTCCGCTATGATACCTTCTCTTCCATCTTTGCCCCGCTTCAATGTGGGCAGAGACCCCTGTAGAGAATCATTTGCTGTTATCACTGAATATATAGCCGGTAATACATGCCTTCACAGATTTTCAGCATAATAGAGATGGACACCGTCATTGAGCTAGTTTGAAAGGTGCACGTTTTTAATCTTGGTCACTATGTCATCATATCTATACTCAAACACTCTATATGATGTCAAATATGTTTAAAGATAGGTCTTAAAAAACGCTCTATATGATGTCATATGTACGCCCTGACACTTTATACCCTACACTATATCATCATATCTACCCTAAGCTTCAAAAAAAAAACTCTATGTGATGTCCAGGCAAAGATGCTTGTCCAATGCCACTAGTTGTTTGAATAGTATACCTCCCTATTCCCCCTTCTCTATAAATATACGGTTTCCAAGCATCTTAGTTTTGTATCATGAAGTAAAGACTTAAAGTTTGTAGGCTCAATAAGATGTTAGATCTTGACCGACATGGTTAGATTGCACCGGAGTATTGGATTTGGAACTATATAATCATGATGAAAGGCTTATTGAACTTTGGAGAGTTGGAAAGACACATGTAGGGCTAAAATATGGCATACAATGTTCAATAAGTCGGACGCGGCAGCCTAGGCGGTGGGGGCGGGGGGGAGGCTGGGCCGCCAAGGCGGGTGCCCAGACCCAAAAACGGCAGGTGATTTTTTTATTTATTTTATTTTATTTTATTTTTTAAATTTGGATCCCCATCTCCCCCAATTTTATTGTATATAAAATTGTTTGTTTTATTATTTAATAAATAAGTTTTGTATATAATATATTGTTAAGATGCTGGAAGCACATATCAAACTTAAGCATTTACAGCTTTAGACTGTAAATAATATAATTATTACTCAAAATCAACATTAAAAGTTAAAATGAACTCGAGATATCATTTAAATCTCGGCATCTCGCAAATCACAAGTCACTCACAAGTCACAAAAGTTTCAGAAGTAATTAGCAAAAAGTCATGAACTCATATCCGACCAACAAGGGCCACAAACTACAAAAGGTCGTACAACAAGGTCAAACTTGTTTCACCTTCAACCTTTATCTATCAATTATCAACTTAAAACTTAACACATGCCTGAAAATTAGACAAAAACAACAAGGTCAAACTTGACCCTTTAATATATTGGCTTCTTATTAAGCCAAAAAATAAATCTACGTAAAACATACACATCAAAATTGCAATGATATATTACAAAATCAATTATTTAATAAGCATTAAGCAAATATTAAACTAATTAATGAAGTAATTATGCTTTATGAATTATACATCGAGAAAACACATTACACAATTATTTAATAAGCAATTAAGAATTAAGAAATTATTAAACTAACTAATAAAATAATAGTCCAAATAGACAATAACATATCGAAAGATATATCACAAAGTATCAAAGAAAAAATACAAATAGCAAAAAATAACATCATTAGACATTAAGGGAAAAAATACAAAGCCTAATGAAAACTATTGGAATATACCAACCTTCTTGAAGTGGACTTGATTTCGGGCCAAACCGAAATGTTTGGGATTCCAAATCTCCTATTTTACAACCCCTATAAGCCTAAAAAAGATGGGTTGAATATCCTTTAATATCGTAACCATTCAAGGACTTAGAAAAAAAATTCGATCTCTCAAAAAATCTTTGAATATAGTTTTTTTCAAGTTGTTTCTCACTCTAAAGTTTACTAAAATTGTTTTTGGGGGAAAGAATGGACCCTCAAACCCTTATGCCCCATTTTAGGGATAAAATGACATTTCTTGCCCCCCTCCTGAAATGTTTTTTCACTAAACTCCTGCAGGTCGCCTAGCGGGCGCCTTTTTGACCGCCTAATCATCCGCCTGACCGCCTACAGAGGCACCTAGTTCTGGTGCCTAATAGTGACCGCTTTAAGAGTGCCTAGGTGTTTTCTTCAAAAAGCGGCTAGGCGGTCGGGCAGACAACTTTTTGATCACTGATGGCATAAATTTGAAAAAGTCAAAAAATACTTGAAGCTTGGCAGCGTATATATTGATTGCCATAAGGTGGTATATTTTTAATTTTGACTCATTGTATATTAATCCCATTATGGGTATTCAGTACAACAACTACTAAGGAAAAAGGACACGACAAAGAATAATTGAAGGGAAAAAATCAAGTGAATCGCCTGTTGCCTATTCCAAGGGTCTGATAACTGAGTGTCCTATGCTTATTGAAGGTTGTGAAGTCTTGGGAATACAAGTCTTACAGGATTGGAGAATTCACCATGATCTTCTGTGTATTTTGCAGGATCTTAAAGATAACAATTACTATTCATTGTAATAGCTAGTTGAAAAATGTTCAACATAGTATTAAGAGAAAAAAACATATGGAATTTGCAGATTGGGCACTAATATGCCAATGAGCACAAGATCAGGGCGGCTCGTGTGTGTGGTGTGCCAAGGTGATATACCACGAAGTGAAGGTGGCAAAGGTGATATACCACGAAGTGAAGGTGGCATTGCTGTTCAAAAAGATGCCCCCTTCCTTTGCAACGATTGCATGATAAAGAAAGATGCCATGGAAGGAAAAAAATCAATTCCCGAATGAGCCTGTTCTGTAAATTCTCAACCTTCTCTTCTCAACTAATTCCTCACCATATTTGGTTTTCATTTTCTTTGCAGTTTTTCCCTCTCGGTTAACTTCTTGGATTTGTAAAGGTCTTAAGTGAATCAGGAGCTGTGTCTGTGAGCATGCGTGGTGCTGGGTGGTTGGTTTCCGCTGTGGTTAATAACGATCGAGTTTTTCTTTTTGGGGTGAATTCATGCGCTACCAGTGTGAAATTTGTAAAGAATTTAATTTATTGTTGGCTGCACATATTTGTGCATATGCAGCAAATGTTTGAAATACAATTGGAGTGTTTTGTCCTTTCCCCTTCCATCGTTTTGTTTTGGTGATTTTTGGAGTTTTTCTTATGATATGAGAATAATAAAAGTTTTAAAATTTCATCCAGCATTGATGTGTATGTACCATGTAATACAGTACACGTATGGTATATTCTAAACGCCCACTTTTGCATACAAAAGAAGTTTGTAAAAAATGTTTATGCATGTTACATGTGACAAATATACAATACACATATACATGATTGTGTGTATGCATGTAATGGACGTTGATGCTCGACTTTTAGATGGGTTGGCTGTTCCTGCAGTGTGTTGCAGCCCCACTGACGAATGCCTCTCCTTTTAGGCAAACATATAACCAGGATCCAAAATCCTGTCTTAGAGCTCTAAATCATTAGATTTTCCCAAAAAATATTTGATTTAGTGAAACTTTACATGAATTTACAAGATATATTTAGAATTGATTCTTGTACACAAGTCCAAGATAGTCAATTTCACTGAGGAGGCTTAGAGATAACTTGGATGGATTGTGAATTGGCTGAAAAACTTGTGGAACCTATTGGATAACTAGGCGGCCTCATTTGAGATGCATGAGCCTCCAAATTTTGTTGTTGAGTGTTCCTATTTACAGGTTTTCTTCTAGACCAGAGAGCTATCAAATATGACTGCATTGGACATGATAATGCAAATATTCCGAGAATCCCGGTAGCTAAGAAGAATCCTTTAGGGAAAAGGAGGCAATGTGATTTTGGTGATCTCCAGTTGCGCGAGTGGTTGGACTCCACCACTATCCCTATCAATAGAAGCACCTCGGCCACTGAGAAACACACCCTGTTTAGAACAAACAAGAGGTAAATTTTGTAATAAATTTAAGTATTATAGTACCAAATTGCCTATGGCAAGTAACATCTCTCTTTCTCTCTCCCTCATTTGTGGACATACATTATAGAGAAAGGAATTGAGAACTGCTTCCCAAGAAAAATCGAAGAGCAGAGTCTCTCTCTCTCCTATGTGGGCATACGTTAGTAGGGAGATAAATTGTGAGAACTGCTTACCAAGAAAAACCAAAGAACAGTGTCTCTAGATAGTGCAAAGACTCGGAGGGAGAGGAAGAAAACATCCAAGCAACTAGAGGCCGAGAACCATCTGGTGATGATGCAGAATTTCTCGCAGCCGATATGATGAAAGCCTGCTGCACAAGCATGGCAATGCCTAATACCACAAACGCACCCAATGCACACAAGCTCGGAGTCTTTCCATCACCACCATAAACACACAGTACTTTCTCCCCATCTATTGGATTAGAAGCCAACATCCACTTTCCCTGAAAACCATGAATTTCCAAAAATGATTGTTAATTTGCGGTACTCTTCTCAAATTTATGATCACATGTATACCTAAATGTATGGGATGTATGGATGATGCATGCATCAATGAGCTCTCAGCAGATTTTCATCAATGAATGCATGCATGCCCCATGATCATTACATTACAACCACCATGTGTGCATTGCATCAATGCTTATATGCATGAGTTCTAATTTGTTAAAGAAGCAGAAAATCAAGGTTCTTATGCTTTTTATCACCAAATTAATGTAGTGCAAATAAAAGTGAGATGTATGTATGTATGACATGTGTGGGTACCGTTGATCTGGACAATTCAGCTGCTAGAGAGAAGAAGAAGGTAGAGAGAGCCCCAAGAATGGAGATCAATACGATGGCAATGCCAACAACTTGGCCTGGATCAAAGCTTGGGCGTCTCATGGAAGAGTCGAGATCAGCATGAGTAATGGCCATCTCTGTGGCCATTCAAATTGCAGTTCTCTGAATTTCTCAGCGTCAAAACCCAGCCCTTAAAGGAGAATTAGAAGAGGAAGAGAGAGAGAGAATCATTTCAGCTTGCAACCACTGCTATCTAGGTGTTTAGTTAGAGAGAGAGAGAGCATGGAATCGATGCTAAGTGTTTCCTTATGGGAAACGTAATCTGGGCATTGAGTTTACACGTATACCAATGTTCAAATGGCACGCATTTGTTACCCAGAAATTACCACTAATTTACCATGACCCTAAAGATGGGTTCTACTAATTCTCATCTTCACAATTGAGTAATAACGCATACCCAACTTTGAGATTTTGCTCCAAACTTTGAAGCCTTCTGGCCATTCTGCCTCCAAGTATACAAAGGCGTTTTAGGCATTCCCAAAGGGAGACTGTTGATGATCTCTCAATCCCTTTTCACCTCTCTCTCTCTCTGTCTCTCTCTGCATTTGTGCATTTCCTTTGGTTGCTTCCAAAAGATACCCCATGAAGAAAAAAATGGGAAAAAAGTAAACTTCCCTAAGAACCTTTAAAGCAACCATGAGAGAGAGAGAGGAGGTTTGGAAGTGCAAAACTGGGGACCTTGATGGTCCGAATGGTAGAGAGAGAGAGAGAGAGAGAGAGAGAGAGAGAGTAGTTGAAATTTTGTGAATCATTCCATTTCACCTTCCAGAAACAGCTCCAATAAAAAAAATTCACTGGTCTCCACCCATCAACATCGTCTAAGTCATGCTTTTCATGCATTCAACACAATTACAGCATCTTAATTCAAATGAGCTCCATTTTGGAGGAGATACCTTTACAAAATTACAGACCTGAATACAAGATTACTTATTGCATATAAACCAGTTCATTGAAGAAAAAAAGAAAACAATTTGATCACCAAGACCTACAAGTATCTACAAAAAATGGCACCCCGGCTTCAAATACATGCAAGCACTTCCTTCTTCAACTGCTTACTACCTGAAAGCTCCTGGGTCCATTGCACTTCCTTTGTGTGAATTCATCCTGAACTTAAACTTTACCTTTGACAGATAACTTCCCGAAACTATATACAAAACAAAGAAAACCTATGTAATCCTGAGCATTTATAGCAACCAGAGGGTAGGCTCTGCAAATTCTCACTTGAATCAATGAAAAAAAGCTTCAACTCTCAGTAGGAAAACCTGCCTATTCTAGCAGCTCTTCTAACAGAGAGCTCCCTTACAACAGGGATGCCCCACTTAACGGCGGCCTTCAATTTCCTCCAACTCACATTGGCCTTAGAGCTCTTAGGCATATGGAAACTGGTTGTAGGGTGAGAAGTGACTAAGGGTACAAAACCTGATTCATGGCCTCGAAACAGGTCATAAGCTTGTGGTGGGCTCCAAGTTGGAGGGATTGGAAGCCTGCTTTGCATTTGGACTGTCGGATCATCATCTAGTCCTACATTCATGGTCGAGATACCAACCAATGGATACCCACTTTCAACCATGGGCCACTCATCATTCACTTGATGAGGTTCATACATCCCAAAAGAGTTCCTCCCAATGGAACTGTCACGAGGTGCAGTCATGGCGGGTAAATGAGTAGAATGGACCAGCTCTAGCTGTGTTATGGGATCATCTGAAAAAATTTGAGAGAATAGATCAAAACCCAGAAATCATAAGTTATGGTTTGTTAATTCTTTCATATTTTTATTGTTTGACAATTGTTTATTGATTCTTTGATTGCCTCAGAGTTTTGGGTTTTGGTTGTACCTTGACGGATTATGAACCCTGCATTTTGAAGGATGGTTTCTTGAGGTTGAGGGTCTTGGGTTGTTCCTCGAATGGATCCAAGAGTACCTTCAACTAACAGCCCAGGAATTTCCATGGCATCCTGCCAGTTGCTGTATGCGATTTGTTTGAATCTTTCCAGAGTTCTCTGCAAATAACTAGAATTTATGGATACTTGATGATTTATAAATATTAATAAGCAATTTTAAGCTATATGCTTCTTGGAATTTCAAGATTTCCTTTTTAGTAAGCAATCTAGTATGGAATGAAAACTTGGAAAGTAAATGCTTTTTTTTGTTAATTAAAGTAAACTTTTTGAATCTTTGAAATGTTTTAACCTATTGGATGTCAACTAACATTGTGTCTGATCTTCTCTTCTAACATTGCCTGCCAACTAAATTTGACTCTGATTGTCTAACTAAACCAAACCCACATTGCACAAAAGGAAAATTCAACCACTTGCCAAAAAGTTGAGGAAAATATAATATCATTCACTACATTACCAGGCATGGAGAAATATAATAATGAGTTTTGCGATGTTTCAGATAGAGGACATACAATTTGTTCTTTGGTAAGGAGCAGATAAGTCTGCTGATCACATGTCAGCCCGACGAGTTCCCTTACGGAATTGAATACAAGGCCGAACTCTTGTCCACCAGCAAAATGGACAAAAAGCTGATCATCCAGCGCACAGGTCTTTGCATGCCTAATAGTTGCCTCCCATGTCTTTGGGGACATTCCATTGCCAAGGACCTACGCAACCCACATGGTCAAGGAGTGATTATTATTAAGAGTCAAAATTCATATACATAACAAACTTAGCCACTAATAACTATCCATGTTTTCTTAATCTCTTTTTGGGGAAGAATACTCTAATCCAATGGCATATCAAAATTCAAGGTGTATTGGGATCATCAAAGTTGATGACATGGACGGCTATGGAGAAAGTAAAACCATCTCAGTAGCCATCACTCCGTTGAGTTGCAATGACCCCAATGAACTGTGGGTTTTCAAGTTGATCAGACTATATTATAATTCCCTTCTTTTTATATTAAAAAGAAGTGATAAAGTCTCATTAAAGTGTCTAGATAAATTACAAGAAACAGACTCCAAAAAGGCAAAACCTACGGCTTAAATACCAATCCATGTTTGAGTGGTGATATCTTACTCTTCGTAGCCTTGCAGAATCAGTAAAATAGAGGACCAAAAAGTCCTGCACAGTATGAATCTTTTCAGCAGCCAACCTGGTATGGAAGCAGCCTTCTTTACCTATCTTTTCCAAGCGCCATACTTCATCTTTCAGCATGGGTGGGTAGTGCTTCTTGTACACTGCAAATAAACAAGTTCAGATTCCGTCAATGTGACCACCAAAAAAATAAAAAAAAGAGCATGAGAGTTTTCATCGGCTAACAAGGGTAACTTTCACATATGCAAAGCATGGGTATGTTTCATGTTTGGACTCTCTATGAGGAAAGCTAAATAAACATTTGCTCCAACCTTTCACCTAAATCGGAGTTTGTTGGTAGGAAGAAAAATCACTGACTTACATTCTCCACGATGATCCTTCACAACAAAAGCTTCTGATTTTGCTTCCCTAATCCTTTCTCCAGAATTATTATTTCCTACTCTAGCCCCCAACCGGAATTTTCGACTTCTAATCCAGCTGGAGTTATCAGTAAACACTAACTGCCCAACTGTTCCGATGCCTTTTCTCAGCGGAATCACACGATCTCCAGTAAGAAGTGGCCTTTTCCCTTCCCTCTCACGTATTACATTTCGTGAGAAGTCATGTTGTGACCAATTGTCTTCAGTCACAAAATCACCATCAAGGGCAAAAATCTCCACCTTAATCTGAGATAAAGGACCAGAGTTAACTAGCTCGCCTGTAGTGGAATCAACGATGACTAATTCAATAGGGCAACCATCCTCTGCCTCTATCGGGCTACCAGTGAAGAGTGATTGCGGCAGCCTATTCTGAAAATGAAGTTGCAGATGGCTCGCCCCTGAGGCCTGAATTTGCCTTGGGATGGATCTAGAAAAATAATCTTACAGTTAATAATAGAAGTAGAATCTCTCTCTCCCCCCACTGTCTCTCTCCACACACACACACATGAAAGCATGCAATGTTGTTTTGGCACTTTACGACTTGGAAAAGAGCATGAAGTATACAAGTGCAGTATAATCTTTTCATAACGTTTCTAACCTTAGGCTGTTTGTTCATCATCCCCCCTGCTCCCCCTCCACCCCTCATCTCTCTCTCTCTCTCTCTCTCTCTCTCTCTCTCTCCAAACACACACACGATAGAATACAAGAAAGAGTTCTTTTAAATAAAATAAAAAAATAAAAAATGTATTATTGCAATGGCCAAACAGTTCAAATTAGGCAGCAGTAGTAAAGCTTTTCATTCTAACCTTAAGTCAGCTTGAATATCCAAAAGCTCCAAACCACGTTGCACCTCCTCACGTACCTAAAGTATAAAGAGATAAAGTGTGTTGGAGCACTAAAACTAAAGCAGTTCTTAAAGAATCACTGAAATATAGATAACTTAGAAGGCGAACTTCCTGATTTCTCAAACATCCAATAGAGAATGATTATCTAGAGAACAAATGAGTCCGGAAAAAATGATAAGAGCCAAGGAATTTATATCAAATCAAACTGAAAGAAAAGATGATAAGAGCCAACGAATTTATATCAAATCAAACCGAAAGAAAAGTAAAATCACACTTCAAAAAGAAAAAATTACGATCAACTTTCTTATATTATGCTTGTCCATAAGATATCTCTAAAGGAAAAAAGAAAAAGAAAAAGGTTTGAAGTCATTCAAACAAAGACTGAAAAACAAAGACTTTGGTGCATCTGGATCAAGACCCATAGAATAGTGGAAAAACATTTTCATCTCAATTCCCAAGTTTTCTAGGTCAGAATCTTACACTTAATGGCAAACTAAAAAGACAGCGAAAAACACACTAACTAATTCATATATTTCAGAAACAAGAGGTTATCAAGACGCTAATATTATCTAATTCAGTGAGCTGCATAAAAAACAGAGCATCAAATTATTTGAATTTAAATTCTAGCAGCTTTCTGAAGTTGGAATTTCCAAGTGATACCACATTTAGAAACATGCAAAGAAAGGAAGTATGCAGATTAAAATTAAGGTAAAAAAATTAACATGCAAAGAAAGGAACTATGCAGATTAAAATTACGGTAAAAAATTAACGTGCACAGAAAGGAAGTATGCAGATTAGAAACTAAAGTAAAAAATTATAAACGGAAAACGCAAATGAGCAGCAAACTACCGACCACTTTGCGAAGCATGGGTTCTATCTTTGTTATAAAGCTCTGCATCAACTGTGCTAGCATTGCTTCTTTAACAACACTGTGAAAACCAAATAGCAACATTCAAGATCCACCATGACCACATCATAGAAATCCCAAAAACTCTCTTTATCATTATCAATCTAATCAAATATTCATTCTTAAACACCCATATCTCAGTTACAAATGCCAAGCAATTAATCATACTTATCAAGAAACAAATGACCACATGGAAATTCTTCATTTTAGAGAACAAATTCCTAAAGCTCGAAGCGCCTACCCAACAAAAACCCATTAAAAAAAAAAAAAGGAAAAAAAAAACGAAAAATTGAGAAAGCCAACATCGTCACTATATACATACTTGGCTAAAGACAGGTGCCGCTTAGTACTGGAAGCTTGAACCTCAGAGCTGCCATCTTTCCATTCACGGGGTCTCTTTTGCGGTATCATCCCAAAATTCAATCCCTCTCTCTCTCTCTTCTTTCTCTCTATCTGAGAAGCTCCAAGCTGAAAAGATCTCAGAAGCACCAAGGCAGGAACTCTACTGGAGCTTCCAGCTGAAGCTCAAGTAGACCCACCTATTTAAATGCCAGTTCCAAACCCAATTTTAAAAAATAAAATACAAAACTAACCAACCAGGCTTGGGAACCCAAATCTAAAAACTGCCCATAATCAAAGAGCAAATAAATCCTCATATACAAATGGAGGAGGGGATAATAAAGTGGGGAATAACATAAGAAGGTACATGGAAGTTTCAATGACCGTATGAAACACGCTGATATCAAATCAGTAATCACTAGGAGCAATGGAGAGTGAAAACAAAGGGGAGGAAAACTAACAGAATGACAGTTAGGATATGAAGAACCAGTTGCCCCTATTTTTTGATGAAAGGACATCATAACGCTCCCTGTCCTATTTGTTTGGAAATAAACAAACAGCCCCAAATTTCATATACAAGACAGTCATGGCCCATTTGGAAATTCTATAGCGAAATCTAAATGAACTTTATTTTGAAATTTTTGTTTTTTTGATTGGGAATATCTTAATTTTTTGGATTTTGGGATTTGTGCTTTTCTGATGATCAGAATTCAAGGGCATCACTAATTTCTAGTGATTGAGAAATTGATTTACAAAGGAAATTATTCAAGACCGCGCCTATTTTTTGTTGGTATCAGAGATTCCATCTTTCTATAGATTTAATAGATAAATAATAGCACATAGTTGGAATAGTTCTTAATCTTTTATTTTTTTTATTTTTTTTAAAGTTTTGATTTTACACTGTCACCCCACCGATCAATGTCTTGAAACACTCCCTTAGTTTTTCTCACAAAAAAAAAAAATACAAATGGCTGATAATGCAAAATAAAATTTAAATTTCAGCATATTTTGGTCCCTTTTTCAAAATTGTAACCTTTAATATAAATGAACACAATTCCAACAATAAACCAAAATTCCCAACTTCTGAAAAAACGACATATGAGCAACAAAAAAGTGAAACTAGGAAATCGATCCCAGTGTTCACAATTTTTTTAGATAAAAAAAACCATTCATTTGTAACCATGCGTCTAGGGAAATGTATATAATGAAACTATTTACTATGGTTAGCAGGTCACAATCATTGTCGATACTTGGATATGAACTCGGAGGTGTGGTGATCTGTCACTGTTTGAACACAAAGTCTGACACAAATTTTTTCGAAAGATGTAATACATTTTAATAGGTTAGATTCCACATCTAACGGCTAAAAAAAAGTCATGAGTACCAAGAATAAATGGCAATCCTTGTGTCTATATTTGACATTTTATAAATAGGCTTGAGGTATTATAGTCTTTACATTAAAAGAAGCCCCAGTTTTCACCAGGTTTATCACGACTGTAACAATGGAAAATCATTCTTTTTCAAAAGTTAGTTTACTCAGTAAAAGAATAAAAATAAACCCATTAAAAAAGGGGCTATCAAACCTTGAGCAGTTGGGATCCTGTAACTATCAAGAATTCAAACAAACCCTGTCTAATTCTCCACGTATAAACCCTAGGTACTTGACCGTATATAAACAGAAAATCACAATCAAAATTTGAATAAAATCTTGTCATTCCTAGATGATTGTAATAAGAAGATAGTAATTATAGTAAATGTGAAGAAGAAATAGAAACGCGTTACCTGGATTTGGAAACTTCAGAGAAGGTAGGAGGAAGGATCTGAGATAGAGTAAAGCGCGTTCTTTTTCTCTTACTTTATTGCTTTTTGGGCCTTTAAAGAATGACTTATCGCCATGTACTTTTAGTTGACTGAAGCTTTCAGTATCGACGCGTAGGAAGGGACAACACTCCACAGCCCTAACCCTAATTTTCCACGCCCCTCTTTTACACTGCTTACATGACAAAGAAACCCTAATTCTCAGTCAGAACCCTATATCAAATATTAACCTTTTGCGTGCTCTCCAATGACGCCCTAAATTCCAAACCCAACTTGCATTTACAGATCTCTGCTACGATTAAAAAATGTTGGATATTTTTTATTTTTCCTCCAAATCTCATAAAAATATTTAGGGAAAGCAATTAAAATGTTCGGCGCTTTGATCTTTTTTTCCTTTAAATTTCATTGAAAAATATCATTTGGAATTTGGACCGTCAAGACCAAGGATCACAATTTATCTCAAAAATATATTTATGGAAAATATCATTTGGATATTAAGACCAACTATCACAATTAATTAATATCATATAGGATCCTCCCCCATCTATATAAGACTTTAAAGAATCACCATTAAATTTGGTTCGACGGATCTCTAGAAAAATTATTACATAAATTTAAGACTTTACTTTTTTTAGAGATCCCTATCAAATTTAATAGTGATCCTTTGAAGTCATTCACACATATAAGTGGGAAAAAATCATGTAGAATCAATTCTCTTAATTATTATAAAAAGGTTGTTTTTCAATTTCCATTCAAAAAACTATTAAACATACAACAAATTGAACAAAAGCGGATATTTTCAGTGTTTAACCCACCTTGGACACGATACTCTTGTAATTTGATTGATGTATGACATGCATGTCAAAGAAATGCTCATTCATGTTCAAAGTCTTTAACCTTAAATAGCGGTAATTTGATTATTTTTAAAAATATTTTTGAGAAGGTACACAATGAAACAAAGATACAACATATAAATTTTAATATTAATTGTGATTTTTTATCCTATCAATAATTTTGTAATAGGTGGTGGTGAGCCTTTGAATAATGTTTTCACAGATATCTAATGTCACCTAAATGGCATTTCTATGATGCAAAATGATGGACTGAGCGTTGTATTTGAAAGGCCACTTCTAAAAGACTTTGGCACTCGTATCCTTAACATTCATTTATGCCTATGTGACATAAACTAGCCCTAATTTTTTTAGAGTATGTGGCTTCAGCTGAAAAAATGTTTTAATATCGAATTGAAAATGGACACATACTTAAAGTCAAGGTGACAAAAATGATAAAATCATTTTTATCCTTACCCATTCACATTAAAAAAGAGAATATTGAGTTCAGAGCAATGATTTCATGCATGCAACGGTTTAAGCATTAATTTCAAAAATACGTAGCCCTAAATGATAAAATCATAAGTTTGGATGGAGCATTTGTTACTCTCGCTAAAAAGGAGAATCTTGTGATTAAATATTAATTTCCCGAATGATAAAATCGAGAGCACGTTTTTCTCTCAGTAAATTCCGCAAAATTGTCCTTTTCTTGTCGCCCTTTTTTGTCGAAGAGTGCGTTTCCGTAATATAGCATCAGAACCCATTATTTTATTGAAACCCTAAAATATCCCTGTCATGTAAATGGTGAAATCATTAATATCACTCCCGAAAACAAATGTGCAAGATGAAATGGAGGGAAAGGTTTCTCTCTTTTCCCTACCATACACAGCAGTCCAATTTTGATCAAGAGTGTCACTCACTGTTTGATCTTAGATCTGATGTCTCAAAGTATTTTATTTTAAGTTTTTTAATAGAAATGGTATGAATATGAAATTTGGTATATTTATCTTCTCAGGCGCACTAATAAAAAAATATTAAAATTAAATTTTTAATAAAATATAATGACCAAAATACCTCTTGAAACTTTCAAAAGTATTTTCGTCATTTTATTTTAAAAAAAATATATTTTTATCTTCTATTTTTAACTTCCATATCTCATGGGACTCAAGAATTTAAAATATTGCTTGAGCAAAGGTCTCCATCTTTTCTATCTTGCAACCTCTTGGACCCATTTGACCATAAATGTTTTATCCAAATAAACACTAAAATAACACTCTATTCAAACTTCATCTCTCTCTCTCTCTCTCTACTAAAACTCTATCTATTTCTCTTCGCTTCTGGGTGAGTTTACCAGCCAAGGGGTTTAGTTTGAGTTCGAACACGTGCACATCTTCTTATGTGTGTGAGAGAGATGGAGTTTTAGAGAGAGAGAGTTTAGGTTTTAAAAAAAAATGAAGTTTTATAGAGAGATGGAGTTTTAGAAAGAGAGATGGAGTTTGAGTTTTAGGGAGAGAGATGGAGTTTTGAGAGAAAGTGACCATGATGTGAGAGAGAGGTGAAGCATGGGTTTCAAAGAGAGATGAAGTTTTGAGAGAGAAACGATGATGTGTGAGAGAGAGTCATTTCACAAGTTGTTGAGGTCAATAATACATGGTCAAAAGGGTTTTGGAAGTTGGAAAATAGAAAAGATATATTCTTTTTGTTTACAAGTAATATTTTCAATTCTTGCATCTGATGAGATATAAAAGTTAAAAATAGAGAATAATATGATATTTTCCTTTTATTTTATTAAAGATATTGTTTTTATATTTTTTACTAGTGCGAGTTTAATAGAGGAATGGACGTTCAAATTTTGGTGTCAAATAGTTTATAAAAAAAATTAAAAATAAAATAATGTGGAGATTTGACATTGTGATTGGGGCAATCTTAACCCTCCATTCAGAATGGACGGTTGGATAAGGGGAAGTATATAAGTTTTATGCTATTGGAGAAGCATAAAAAGCTTGCCAAGGTGGCATTCATTTTCAAAATAATAGTAAAACAAGCCAAAAGGATTTTCTACTCCTGGGGGAGTATACTATCTATTTACTTCTTTGTGCAAAACACACATTTGATATATTTTTTAGGTCTCAATTTTTTAGATGTAACATCTACAACCCATATGATAATATCGGTAAAGTAAAATTCTGAAATAAGCTCTTTATGTAATAGAAAAATAATAATGCATCAGAATTGATACAGATCTTCCAAATTTTGAAGAGCGAGATCTAAATGTTGTAAAACTAAAAATTCAATTTTTTTTTAAAAAATAATCATCGGGCGATTATTATATGGTTTCAAAAATTTAGACCAAAAAAATCTTGTTAAATAGGTTTTCAAACAAGGAAGTAGAATCACAATATATTCCATACCCCATGGAAGCACAATATACACGCCCCCGCAAAACAATACTCTTTGGCGACACTGGAGTTTAAAGCGAATCAATTCTTTGGAGCAAGAAGGATTTATAAAAAATTGGACGATCTCTTTAATTTTGATTGTGATTTGTATAAGGCTGAGGCCCTAAACAATCAAAGTAAGGCCCACTTTTGTATAGCATTGAAAAATGTTGTTCAATACTGAAAATCTTTATAATAACCTAAAAATTTATTTTCATTATACTTTAAAACTTAAAAAAAAATAGGAGGGAAATATAGACTTACTGATTATCTCCAAAATATATAACTTATGTATGTCTCATTGGTGCCATCTACGAATAAGAGTTTGTGAAAATCGCATGTCATTAAACACTTCTTTATATTTATTTAGTTGAGATGAACAAATGGTTTGTGAATGAGGGGCATATGTTGGCAAATACTATCATCATAATCATAGCTTTATCCAATTATTTGGAGAAGGGCTCGACTACATAAATACTAGTATGTTATTCTACTTTCTCATGGGTCATACCCTCAGTAAAGCCATAAGTCCTCATATATTTTATCATTACTTTTAACTATGTCATTTTGGGCCTACCATTTATCCTTTTTTAGTCTTCCACTTGAATTACCTTGCACCTCATAACAGGTATTGTAATAGGTCAGTGTTGCATATGACCAGTCCACCTAAATCTACTTAATCTGATCTTATAGCTTATTAGAGCCACACGTAAGTTCTCTCAAATGTATTCATTTCGAATTCTATCTTTTTGTCTTTCCCCTCATCTATCTCAACGTCCTCATCTCAGCTACACTCACAGATCTATGGATATGTTGTTTCTTGACCACCTAATATTTTGCACCATAAAATACTTGGTCTCAAATCTTTCTTATAGAACTCCTTTAACTTCATTGGTATGCGGCGATCACATAAACCTCCAGTTGTACAACTCCACTTCTCCCACCCAGCTCTAATTTTATATACGACATCTTTCTCAATCTCTCCATTTTCCTAAATTGTTCACTCAAAATATCGAAATTGCGCTCTTTTTTGCATTTCTTGGTCAATCTCAACTAAGTTTGTGAAGATCTTCTATAAACTTCTTTAGATATACTTAAGTTTGTGAACATATGGTTATGTTGTGTAGGTTATAAATTATGACAATAAGATGCCTTAAGAATGTGACTTAGGATCTGCATAAACTTTCCTCGAAGGTAATCAGTAGTTATGTTAATTTTTTTTTTATCGATGCTGAGTTTCCATTGTTTCTTCACTATTGGACTTTATGGTGATATTTGGAGAGGAAGATATATTTGTATATTATTTGAGGGAGTACATCACTGTGTAAGAAAAATCGAACAGGAATAGTTAACCGGAGAGGTTCAACTAGCCTAACCGGTAAACTGACCGGTTCAATCAGCCCAACCTGGCAAAAGTGTTAAAAAAAAAAAAAAATCAAAAATATTAACAAAAGATAAATTGCATATTTAAAACATTATTAAATAAAGCACATCAAAATATAGTTGAAAATTAACCAAAAAAAAAAAAAGGATTTTAAAAAAATAGATTTGTGCACAAGGGTATTATTTTAATTTTTCAAAAAGAAGGAAAAATATAAAAATAAGTATTAATGGCCAAAACAATTTCCAATATTTTCCAAAATAATAAAAACCATTAAAATATGCATTACAAACAAAATCCCTTATTTTTTGAAATTTTATGTATTTTGTTTTGAATTTTTTTAAAAATACCCGGCTGGTTCACCAAAAACGGCCAAAACTTGAACCCGTTAGTGGGCGGTTCAGGTGGTTAGAATTCTAACAGCCCAATTTTTCCAATGTTGTACGTCACACACTTTGGGTGTGTATGGTACATGGTATACCATGAGGCCATATACTGGCTGCTTCCAATGAAGAGAGATGGGAGATGGTGGAAATTACCCGTAGTTCTTGGCGACAGATATTCACTGGTTACTGTTAATCTCCAATGGATGGTGGATTGCTCAGTTGTGCACCATGTACCAAGCACTGCTGGTCAGCCAGTGTATGATACACTTTCCTCAATCTATAGATGTAGTACTTCTTGTTTTTGATAAAACATTGAGTTGTAGCTCTGGAAGCAACAAACAGCAAGCCTAGAGGCCCATCCCCTTGGAGATGTGGTATTTATTGAGGATACTATATCTCTGACATTTTCTCCACTATATGATACAGTTTCAAATTTTCAATGATGACTAATGCTTCATCTTAGTCATCGATCTTAAAAGTGAAAATCTCTCTGGAGAATTTATAAAATTTGAAAACAGAAAATCTTCGATCAGAATGAATGACGACAAATCAAAGGAACAGTGTTACATCCGAGTAAATGGGAAGAACAAAAGTACTTGTTAAATCCATCCTTTTACTCAACTATTTTCTCACGAATTCTTTTTTTTGAGATATGGAGAAAGGAAAGAAGCAGCATCAATCAAGGATTAGCCCTTTGGTTCTCTTCTATGTATGGATGTTGTCGTTAAAGCTCTATTTGAGTATTGCATGTCATGCCCATCTGCAAGTTCAGATGCATTGTAAACTATGGAAACTAGTAGCTCTCTCACAAATTTCTTCCGCTTCTATTTATTTGCACCTTGATTTTCTACTCATTGCTTAGGAAACAATGTACTCGGTAGATCCATGCATATGATATCATAATTCATTTTAGCATGAATCCCACACGAAATGTGTACGACTTCTATCCCTGCTGTCAATTGTGTACAGTGGACAGGGTGAGATGACCTAACTCCATTGAGAGCCTCCATTATGGTTCATTGCTATCCATGGCAGGCCATCGAGGATGGAGATTGGGGTCCTACAAGTTTTGTAGTGCACAACCATATACAGTGATCAAAATTGTTAAACCAGGCTTAAAAGTCATACATAATGGAGAAAGTGGCATACATTTTAAAAGTCCACATACATGTAATCCGAATGTTTCAGCACTCTCAACAAAGCCAAGATTTCAAATTCCTTTTTACACAATCAATGGGGTTCTTCGTGTTCATTGGTGATCACAAACTGGTTCAACTTCTGTGCAGCAGCCTCTAAGGTGGCACTGCTCTTACAAAAAGCAAACCTTACATACCTCTTTTCATAATTCTGATATGGTTTTGGCATCTCTCCTGACACCAATGAATCTGAAGAAATGCCTTTTCTCAAAACTCTTGACTCATGGAAAAACCCGCATCCTGGGACAGCCGCAACTCCAGCTTTCTTGATTAATTCTGCAACAAAATCTACCTGAAGGAATGGGAATGTGCATATTTAATATCATTTGAGTCAAACAAGATCAGTAACAATAGAAGTCTTCTCAACCAAAAAGGAAAAATGCAGATTACTGCCCAAAACTCGTTTTGCAAGTTATGTAGCACGTAGCAACAAAATTACAATCCAGAAAAGGATTGTTAACATATTATGCATTGCTAATAACTAACAATGCACATGATGTGCTGTTACTATTTTCAAAAAAGGAAAAACAATGCTCATGATGTGTAGCCCCACCTCTGTAGAAAAATTGCAGACTAGTAGTCCCCAAGAATTCTGGAATAATTCCTTATGTCTTGAAATTTAGAAGGAGAAATTCCTCTCTGGACGCTACTGAAGAAACAACAGGAGTTTTTCAAAGAATCTCATTGTTACCATTTGGAATACCCAGCAGGGAGATTTACTAAGTTTCTTTTTCTTTATTTCTGTTTCACAGTTAAAGTTTAATGATTAAAGTTTATACTGATTCAAATTTGGGATTATTGCATGGATCCATTTTTTTTTTTTCAGAAAGATATTGATAAAAGTGAATCGATGGGGAAATTAAGAATCCCCATCTCATGAATCATACAAAAATGTACTATTTTCATATTCAAATTAAAAACAAATTCAAATGAAATATTCAAAATGAAACCCCTATATCTTGTGTTCAACCTCTTCTTCCTAAAAATTTTCATTTTTACAGTTAAGTTCTTTTTTTCGTCATTTTTTTTTTTTTGCTGAAATCACCCCTTGTTTAACCCTTGGATGGTCGAACTAATTTATAGTTTTAAGTCCAGAAGCACCAATCCTTATGACTAGCTTAAGTTCGACCAAGAGTTGAACTTGCTTAAGTTCGGCCTTTCAAATGTTGAACTTACTTGAGTTCGATCTTTAACGATAAAGCTTAACAACAAATACAATTACTTCGACCGTTTAAGGGTCGAGCTTCTTAAAATTATAAGAATAGGTAAAATAGAACAAGATGATTTGAAATTGTACCAATGTCATTTATATAGTGGCAAAACTTGGCATTTCCACTTGGGTATCTAAGTTTGTTGAGAAAGGAAAACAAGCCAACCCACCCTTGTTTTGTTCAATTTTATGCCCAGGCTTTTCGATTTGGTCTAGTGATAGTAAAGAAATCAGATTTGCATAAGGAAAATCAACTTACAAACCTGCTGAAATTTTGAATTTGCATAACCAGGTTTGCATAACGAAAATCAACTTACAAACCTGCTGAAATTTTGAATTTGGTTCACACAACAAACGAGGCCAGCTTACTTCTTTTGCGCTTCTTGCATTTACCCTACAATGATGTATTCGAGGCTAGCTTAAGTTTGACCCATGAGCCAACCATAACCAGTTTCACCCTTGAAGGGTCGAACTGGCTTCTGGACTTTTTAGAAGCGAACGGTTGAACTTAAGCAAGTTTGATTGTTTGATAGTCGAACTTAACCGAACTGGGGCTAATTTTGGCAATTAAAAAACCAAAGGGAAAAAGGGACTTCACTGTAAAATTGAAAAGTTTTTGGACCATTTTTAAATTTAAAAAAAGGAAAAGGATCCGTACAATAATATCACCAAAAGTTTTGTACATCTTTTGCAAGTAGGGAATAAAAAAAGTTGATGCTCTTGAAGTTTGAATATAACCATGATGTAATGAAACAAACTATTGCAAAACGCCCCAGGAACAACAAAGGAGACTGCTTTCTCACTCAACACTCAACATCTCTGTAGTCCCTTTGCAAGAAACATGGATGGATATCCTGGTTTTGTCGTTGAACAGAGTCATTGACTACATATCTGGAAAAACTTGCATATATGAATATCGTTCGTGAAGTTAAGTATGAAGTCGCTTATTTGCAAAATATGGAAAAGCTTGCATTTATGAATGTCGCTGATGAAGTTAACTATGAAGTCACTTATTTGCAAAATATTTTACAAGAAATTAAGCTGTATCATATTTTTAACCGATTCTCTATACCGTACACATGAACCAGTAGCAAAACATCAGTGCCAATCAGGTCAGACTAGAAATTTAGAAAGCTGAATTGAAGCATGTGATGATTTTTATTATGATTACATAACTGATAGTACTCAAATAAGGAAAGAAAGATATTAAATTATTTATCATTTAAAGGAAATCGGACTTCTGATGACAATCCACCAAGTGCTTCCATGATGTATGCATGAAACTATGCGAAAAAAAGAAGTATAAGAAAAAAAAAGTTCAAGTCCACCGAGAGCTTACATCAGGGAGTACGCAATGTTCAGGAAGTTCTGCAAATACAAAAAAGGAACCCTGAGGCTTGAAGTGAACTTTGAAGCCAGCTTCTCTCAGAATCTTCACAATTGTGTCCCTCCTTTCCTCATATTCCTTTTGGGGGCGACAGTTATAATTACAATTTATTCTGCAAAATAACATGTGGGCATAAAGAAAATAACAAATTAAATGTGCTTACAGTTTTCAAGTGCTCAAAAAAGGATGGAGAGCTCCTTAGGGCAATCAAGGCAGCCTCTTGGAAAGGAGCAGGGGCTGAGTCAGTGAGCTTCACATGAATATTCTTGATTGCAGATGCAATGGGAGTAGAAGCAATCGCCCAGCCAACCCTCCAACCTGTTAATTATGAATTGTAAGCTTACAAATGATCTGTAATACAAATATTCGTGGTTTTCATAGCCTAAAACTATGCATTTCAAGATATTAATGGTACAGTTTTACTAGCAGTGAAGTTTTACTCTAAGAATCCACTTATACAGCTCGGGGGCAGCAAGACTAATTGGAAAGCACGATGGTTGCAGATTGGAAATTGCTTGCAATCGATTGGGAATCACCATTCTAGAAATGGGTGAGAAATCCTACATAAGAATTTTGTCTCTAATTTCCAAAATCTATCTGAGGTTCTAAAATTGTGGCCACTGAGTTTAGAGACTGTAAGGAAATAGTTCCTATGCTTGAGTATAAGAAATTGGGATGTATCATTCAAAACTATATATAACTAAAACATATCATTAACATCTTTGGGATGCTGGCAATCTTAACAACATGTTCGTCTTATTTGTCATTTGAGACCAAAAGTAAATTCAAGAAAGGGTGTTATCAATATCATGCAGGTACCTGTGACACTATAAGTCTTGGATAAGGAAGAAGTGATAATGGTCCGTTCTGCCATTCCTGGAAAAGAAGCAAGGGAAATATGCTTGGCCAAGTCAAACGTTATGTACTCATATACCTGCAAATTTTAACATTAAAGAAAGTAGTTAAGGACATTTATGGTAGGCAATTACAGCCATGGTTCCTATTGCTTAATTCAAGATGGTCCAATGAGGAAAACAAAGCAGATGATTGTCTAGGTTACAATATGGTGACTAAGAATGACAAACTAACAACTATCCACAACATGATAAACTACTTCTTTATGGTGAACTTGTACTATGCCAAGTAAACATGATAATGCAAAACCCCCATCTGAAGACAAAGACAAGGAGATCTCATCGAATAGTTCGTTAGTTTGTTACCACACCACAGCCATCTTCCTAACTTCCAAAATATTAATAGTTTGGATATATTCAAGGAATTTGTACTAGAAGAACAAATGTGTGTTATAAATCACATATAGATCTACTCGATAAAAATAAATAAAATCTACATGCATAATTATTCATAGTATGGTAAATCCTAAACGGGTCAAGTCGACCCGATCCAGGTCCAGGTCTGGACCCCAACCCTGGACCCGGCAGGTCAGGTCCGGGACCAACCTGAACCTATTTGGGTAGTGTCCAGGTCTAGGTCAGGGTCGACCCTATCTGGGTAGGTGGTAGGATGGGTGTGTCTATGTGTGTGTGTGTTTGTGTGGCCTACGCGCATATCTATTCATAATATTTGCCTCCAAAGTTATGTAAGGTTTACCCACCATGCTTTCCCTAAATACTCTAGGCAAATCATGATTTGTTCATGGCTAAGTCCCTCGAAAACAACTAATATTGGAATTTCATTGTAGTTACTAGTTATGTAATTTAACCATATGAAGAAGGTATATATGAAAAAGCTACCAATAAGTTGTCACCTAAAATGTATAGTAATTTCAGTTATGCTTCTAGATCTCAAATTTTGATTGGACAGTTAACAATGTATGTTGCTAGTTAAGTTTTAATTTTTTTTCTATAAATCGGATCAAACTATAATTTCAGGTGTGTGCTATAGATAACAGGGTGCAGAAAAAATATAAGTAAATATTTTCCAAGATTTAAAATGACCAAAATAGCATTAAAATAGATCAGGGGTATTTTAGTTCTTTAAGTTTTCGAAATATTTGGTTTATATTTTTCTCTAGTGTGTGATGGTGTCAAGTATATATGCCTAAAAAAGTCAGCCTAATCTAGTTTGTAGAAAAAGGATTAAAATTCAAATAGTACAATAAAATCTCAACCATTTGATCTGGAAGCAGAACCTAAATTACTATTTATTTAATGTGGCAGCCTATTGGTAGCTTTTCCCATATATGTATGCATGCATGGGTGTGTATGCGTGTGTGTGTGCATGCAAGTATTTTCGTGCATCTATGACCATTGGAAAAGGACCCATCTGGGGCTGTTTCCGGGTTGGGGCCCATCTGGCCCATTTGTAGGCCCATGCACACATCTATTCTTCATAATATTTGTCCCTTATATTATGTAAGGTTTACCCCCCATGCTTGTCCTAAATACTTTGGAAAACTCATGATCTGTTCATGGTTAAGTTCACTCAGCAGCAACTAATTGGAATACCCTTCTATTTATGTAATTTGACCATACTGAACGTAAATAAGTGAATTTCTTCAACTAGTTTACCAATTATACTGTTGAAAGATAAATAAAGCAAAGAAAATATCATGCTTTGTTGTTAATGTCATGCAATATATGTTGCGGCAAGGACAATAAAGCTAGGAGTACTCATACTTCATCTGTTATGGCCAAGCAATCCTTGTCGCAGCAAACTTGAGCAATAGCTGCCAGCTCATCAGTAGTGAATACTTTGCCTGTTGGATTGTGTGGACTGTGTCATCTTCTGTTAGTTACTTGCTACAAAATTTATTTTTTGAGAAATGGTTAACTAAACATGCTACAATATTGAATCCAGCTCTACATGTTATAGAGTTATTGAACCCTGAAGACAACATAATTCGGTCTGTTCAGTTTTTTCCTATTTCTTTTTATATTTTTTTGATAAGTAACATGTTCCGAAAATTAAGTTAGTCTTGATTCATAAAAGTTGAGTTCAAAACTCCAGCCTTCCGGTTGCACAAAAAGGTTAGAACCATTTTCTTCAGCATCGTTTTCCATTCATCACTAAACATTATGTACAGAAAGAAAAAAGGAAAACCAGGGATTGCTAGGGAAGATAGGCTCAGTTATAAACATACATATTGGTTGGGATGCACCCACGAGATAAACTTAACAAGCAGATTTTGGCCATGATGAACATTTATAGTTTTTTTCTGACAAGAATGATGAACATTTATCTTCTCATTCAGCAAACAGAATAATAACAGTTTTAACAGACATGCTTACCCCTAGTGCAGGACTCAAGTACACATACGCATGTCATTTATCGAAATAAGTAGTGTACTAGTTATTAAAATCTTTGATCTTTCCAAGGTCATCATAATCTCAAAATTAGAGCATGAACAAAATGTAGTTGGGCGTGTTTGTGAGTATATTTGATCACTCATTTGCTGTGTCTACCCAATCTCAGGCATGTGATACCTCCCATATTCATGATGAAAGCATCAGACATCAATCACATGTCATACTTCAAATTTTGTATGTTGTAACTACTCCCAGCTCTCCTTAGAAACTCTAAAAGTATAGCATGGCTGCTTGTAAACTCAAGAACTTATGGGAAAACTATAAGACTCATGAACTCCTATAAATAAACAATGCAACACATATGCACGAGAAAGGTATAAAGCATTAGTACATGCTTCATAACATGTAATTTCAATTAAGCAATTAACTAACCTGTTCACATTGATAAAGAGAGAACTGACCTGTTCACAACTATTGCTTTTGTCCGTGAAGTAAAAGACCCAACAAACAACTCCAAATTCAAAGTCCAATGAGGTGGATCCAGTGGTACATACACCTTAAATCATGGCAAGCAATGAGTGCTCTAAATATAACCACAAGAATATGATACTGAACTTTAAAAAGAACAACTGATGACTCACAGGGACTCCTCCAGCCATAGTTATACATGCCCCATATGTTTCATAAGCAGGATCAAACAACAAAACTTCATCACGCAGGTTGATTGCTGTGAAAGTGAAGTACAAAAAGAAAAAAAAGGCACAAAGTTAGAAGATGCAACCAATGCTATGCATTCTTATTTGAGAGCTCATATTAAATAAGGTTCTCAAACCCATATCACATTAGAGAAACATTTGTTGTACTTAAAAAATAAATGTTTCTAAAGAACCAATCTGTTATTTCTGTCAAATAACGTACTTGCAAATACGGCTGCAGCAAATGCTTCTGATTGACCACAACAAATGGCAATGTTCTTATGAGGATCAACATCTATACCATGTTTTTGTTTTATCATCTCAGCTAGTTGGTCACATATACCCTGCACATGTCTGGGATGCATCTTCAGATGAAAACAGTTCCTTCATGAATCAAGCTTCTCAACAGCAATCACTATAATGACATGTGTGCATGCACGACACGCTTAATACTTAACCCATGTGCAAGAAGATGTAGGTGGACAATGATGCCCATGTTTTACCAGTAAATTGCATTATATGACACATGCTTGGATGCTAGTTTGGGATGAACTAATGAGATAGTAAAGGAAAGACAAGGAACAATGGTGTAAGAAGGAAAAATCATGAAACATTGGAATAGTATAAAACCTATCATAGCCAACTTTTTTAATAAGAAATGTCTCACACATAAAATCAAATAATGGGAAAATCTGACACATGCACTAAATGGGCAAAACTTCCAAAGTAATACTTTTCAGTTTTAACCAAAATTGAAAGCTTATAACCAGTGTTCTGAAATTGGTGAAAACGGTCGAATCTGGATTTTTTATTTTTCTTTCACCCATTTTGGCCTGTGTTTGGTCATACATAGTTTGTACTGTTGGGTACTCTGGATTGTAAAATCCCTCTCAAAGGAAGAGGAATACAAAATGGGATTTCATCAAATTCCCACATTTCAATACATTCCCTATTTTCCCCATAGTTTCTATAATTTGTTATTTATTCATGATTAGATAGAAACAAAGAGAAGAGAGAGAGCCAAATTCCATTGCAAATTGTATTGGGCAGGAGACCAATTTTCAGCTGGTGTAATTCTGAAAACCAAAACAATCGCCTACATAAATCCAGATACATTCATACTCGAAACTGCACTTCAAGTAGCATATATTTAATACCCATCAATCCCTTTAGCGTTTGGGTTCCCAAAATAAAGACCATAAATTGACTGAAAAGCATCACCACCAACTACAGATTCAAATTCTGTAGAAATGGAAAATGGGTTACTAAATTTACTCAGTAAGATTCAAGATGACATAGAATTTGGGGAAAGATTGGTGAAACCTGTATTGGTTGTAGTCTGCATTGATAGCATTAATGGCTGCAAGTTTAATATCATGGGGTGCTGGAAAATCAGGAAAGCCTTCTGCAAGGTTAATGGCGTTGCAGCGCTGAGCAAGATGGGATAGCTCTTGAATGGGCGATGGTTTTAGAGATAGAGAGAACTTTGAGAGCTTTCCCTCCATTAAATGGTGGAACTCTTTAGTTTGAAACCTTCAACTTTGTACAGATGATGGCTAGAGCGAGAGACGAGAGATTTCAATGCAAGAAATGGTAGCCTGTGATTTTATCATAATCACCGTCCAATAGATTCACTGACGTTGATGGAGCACGCGACAAAACATGATACTTTTCATTGTATCATCACCGTTTAGCTTGATGATTGGATGGCTACCAATTAGAGGCAATTTTTTTTTTTAAAGAGTTAAAATCGAACTTCGATATAATGTTGCTAATGTCAATTGCTAATGACTCAAACCCAATTATCAATAAGCAATATTCAATATTAAATATTGCAAGAGTCTATTATATACAATTCATTGCCTTACTAAAATGCCCTTTCTATCCAAAATTCACTTTAGAGATGATTTTCACAATCTATTTCGAAGATGGATTTTGGACTCAAAATCTATGTAGTTGGTAGATATGGATTTTGGACCTAAAATTAAATAGGTCAACAATCTAGGCAATCAAGATCTTAAATTTAAAAATAATTTAAAAAGTTTGTACAAGGAATCAAGGTTATTATTGTAAAAGTAAGATGCATATAAAAAATCCATAGAAAAAATTGTTTTATACTAGAAAACCCTCTAATTAATCATCTTGATATTGAAATGTGTTGATATGACAAAAATATTTTTAAGTCCTAAAAATAGTGCATTTTTTAATATGTTATCTTGGGTGCTTATAATTATACAAGTTTTTATGTTTCTCCTACATCATAAAAATTTTATCCTCTCCCTACCATCCAGTCATCTAATTTTGATCAAGAGAGCCTCTCACCGTTTGATCTTAGATCCGACGTCTCAAAGTATTTTATTTTTAATTTTTTTTATACAAATTGTATGAATATGAAATTTGGTACGTGTCATCTTCTCATAGGGGCACACATATAAAAATTCTTAAAAATAATTTTTCAGTAAAATATAATGAACAAAAAACCCCTTGAAACTTTCAAGGATAGTTTGATCATTTTATTTTATTGAAAATAATTTTTTTATATTTTTTGCTAGTGCGAGTTTAACAGAGGAATGGATGTCAATAATTTGGTGTCAAAATAGTTTATAGAAAAATAAAATAAAAATAAAATAAAATAAAGGCGTGATATTATGATTGGAATAATCTTAGTCCTCCATTCATAATGGACGGTTGAATAAAAGGGAGGATAGAACTTCTATGCCTAAAAAAAGCATAAAAAGCTTAGCCTTAAATTTATAATTGAGCGAGAAAAGAATTTTCAGGCATCCGCAGGAGTTTTTTAAACTAAAACTGCAGCCGTTTGCTGATGTGCCTTATTTTAATTGTTTTAATGTTGATGCCTTACAATTTTTATGATTGTAAACTTTGTTGGGTCGAGTTTTTTATGAGTCCGTTGAATCATATATTCATGTGGTCTTCCCTCTATAGTCTATCTTAGACATGGATTTCAGAAACAAGTTTTTGGGGATCCGTAGTCTCCATCAGGGGGCTAATGAATATGAAAAACAAATAATTTTTGAAACTTCAAAGTGTTTTTTTTTGTGTCCTTTAAATTTCTTTTAGGCCGTTAGTTTTAAGGATATATGTTGAGTCAAATAAATGTTTGATGCCTACCACTAATGCATCAAATACTTTCTCACGGTAGTAATGAAACCCAAGATGTTATATTGTGGTGACCCACCACCCTGGCGACAAGTCTTTCATTCTAATTCTTTTAATATAATACCTTTTAGGTTTAATTTTGAAATTTATTGTATTTCCATTTGATGGCTTACATGCTTACTCTACATCTCCTCTTACCGTTCTCCTCTTAATTAAGACCAATAATATACATGTGTGTTGCACGTGTACTAAATATTAATTATTAAAATAAAGTTTAAAGCTTAAGTTGGCATATATTTGATTGTAGACAGATATAGTCAGAAACATAAGAGAATGGTGAGATAGTCCAAGAATTATCGATTAGAGTTGAAAATTCAACATATATTAAAAAGGTATGTTTCAATTCATTTAGGTATTAATTTTCTCATATACAAAATTATCATTCTTGCATAATGATAGTTATACAATAACTATATCATTTTATATTTTGTAATAATTTAGTGATCATTATTGAAAATTATAATAAAATTAACTTATTTTTGTTACTATTTATAACTAAATAGTTATCATTATAGTATTAAATATATTTATTACCAGGATATTATTATTTTTTAAAAAAATACATCACTTATATGATCTATATATCAAAAAAATAAATTGCTGCAATTAAAGGATGAGTATCATGTAAAAAATGAAAATTTGTTTATGCAAAGATGATGATGCACATTCACTCATTTTCATGAAATTTTGCATGGGTCCGGGCATGGCAACTAATACATTTTATTAAGGTTTATTTTATCATCTATGTAAGCACCTCACATAACTTCATTGCATATGTAGAAGTACAATTGATTTTCAGAATAAAAAATTATATCAATATTTGCATACACTTAAGATCCACATAAGCAATTAAAATTATTTGGTTCTTACATTAAACACTACACACTTCTAATCAAAAGCAATACCAACAACTCTAATATCCAACCGAACAACTCTAATATCCAATGAGCTGCCAAATGAAGATTCATCTAGGTTCTCTCTCAAAGGATCCAATGATGCTATATACTTCTTTTGTGTTTCCTATATGGCGTCTAGCTGGGCTTCATTTATGGGTTCCTGAAAAAGAAAAGAAAAGAAAAAAAAAACATAAATCCAAACAAATTCAATATCAAAAGAAAATAGAAATTAACATATCTATTTAGAGGGGAAAAAAAACATGATTGTCTTGGAGAGAAATAGCATAGTCACATTTCTTGTGTGTGAAACACGGGTTAAAAGTACAGAGAGAGAGATGAGTGCATTATCAATGGAGCAAGACAGAAAAAGTTGTGGTGTGCATGAGAGAGGGAGTGAAGAGAGAGAGTTGTGGTGTACATGAAACAGAGAGTTGTGGTGTGCATGAGAGAGAGTGTGTGAATGACGTGGGTAGGAGAATTGTGAAGGAGAAGAAAAAGTAGGAAGGAGAAACATGGGAGAGAGATGTGAGACTCGAAAAGACTAATGTAAAATATGGGCAGGGAAAAGAAATGTGGGAGGGAGCGAGAGTAAACCATGAAGAGAGAGTGACATGAATTTACTTAGATTTGGGAGAAAAAACGATTTACTTAAATTAGAGAAAGAAAAGATAATGCATTACTACACTAAAAACCTAGTTACCTTGAAGATGAGGTGTCATCATACTAAAAAAAAAAAGAGTTATCTATTTTATGTCTATGCATGTAGGGAGGGGAAGTGAGAGAATGAGAATGTGGAACGTGAGAGAAAGGAAAAGAAAATTAAGTTTACATTAATTGAGGAGAGAGAATATGAGGTATTATCAGATCACACCACTAAAGGAGTTACCTATTGAATGTATTTTCAAGTATGTAGGATGGACAAAGAGAGAGATAATGGAGAAATGTATAAGAGATTGAGAGAAGATGAGGTGTCATCACACAATCAAATGAGTTACGTATTGGTATGTATTTGCATGCACGTATGATGGAGATAGAGATATTGTATCTATTTGCATGCATATAGGATGGAGATGGAGATAATGGAGAAACATGGGAGAGATGGAATGAATAGTAAATTAAAAAAAATTAAGAGAAATAAAATAGATAGAGAGAGTGTAGAAATGTGGGAGGGAAAGAGGAGTAAGAATTGTGTTTTGCGTGGTTTAGTAAAAAAGCATTGCATGAATAATCAAATAATCTTATAAAATTCTAATAAGGAACCACCGAATCAGAATAATATATAGCAAATCACTACTCAATTTTTTGTTGTAAATCTTTGTTCTATATTGCTAATCTTGAACATAATTTGGCTTGAGCGACATAATTGGGATAAATTACTGGCCAGGCTGGGGCTATGCAATATTAAATCCATCTCTTATGCAATTTTAGAAAATATTCAAAATTAAAAAACGAGTCTCCTTCATGGCTACATGCTTAAGCGTTTTGGGTAGGGAGGAGACAAAGAGTCTTAAGCTTAGTTTCAGAATGAGAGAGAGACTTAAGCTTAGTCTCGGAATATTTGACTTAGGAATTGAGAGAGAGAGAGAGAGAGAGAATTTATACAAGAGGGGGGAAGTTGTATACAACAAGACTATTTGTATAAAGAGGTTAAAATGACCCCTAGTTATCATATGTGAAATCTAGCCATTTTCAAGGTACCACAAAGTTTAGTTTTTTTTAGAAATAACTTTGAGTGCGATCTCATATGTGAAATTTAGCCATTTACAGGGTCCCACAAAGTTTAGTTATTTAGAAATAACTTTAAGTGTGATCAATGCCGCCTAATTTCTCATCCAATCACTAAAATTGGTCATCCCCTTGTACTAAGTGTTATACATATAATTTTCCCTAACCCATTCAAATAGTTTCAACCATTCTTTTCTTTCAATGGATATCTTGGAAGTTCATGGCACAAACGACAACAGCCAAGGAAACTCTAAGGATCCACTTTAAAGTCACCAAATTGAGTATTTTCATTGAAACTGAAAGCCAATTAATTAAACTTCAATTCATTGAAACTACTCCATGGAAAGTACCAATTAATTGAAACTTAATCTCATGGAAAAGCTTTTCGTTTATGGAAAGCCATAACTTCTATATGCTCATATAGGCTGCGAGTTTATATTAGGAAAAATTGGGCTATTCAAATTCTAACCGCTCGGTTAGCCCAGTTAATTTGGAACCAGCACTTAGCCGGTTTTAGTTTTTGTGAACATGTCGGTTATTTTTTACAAAAAATAAGGAATTTTATTTGCAATAAATTTTTAAATATTTTTTATTATTTTGACAAAGATTTGAAAATAATTTAGAATATTTTATTTTCAAAAAATTTCAAAAATACCCCTAAACACTGTCAATATGTGGACGTTGCATGTAAGCCGACTTCAATCATACCTCACACTCACTAACGGGACTTCAATAATATCTCACACTCACCAACGGAAACTGTGCGCAGTAATGGGAATCATCATCTCTCTCTCGTATGAAAATAATGTTTTTCTCTCCAAAAAACTTGTTTACCTTTCCTCTAAACCAGCTATTTCCTTTTCCTTAGGTTTCTTACACGTTTCTCGTTTTGAAATGTTGGGAAAATAAAATGTGTAACTGTTCCTTATGTAAATTAATGCACACGAAGCTCCATCACAGGGATGATAATCTTTTATTAATTTAATAATAACTATCCAATAAACCTCATTTATTATATATTTATTATGTTGTCCCCCACACGTATATATTCACCCACGACCTAGTTTCTCTCTGAACCTGTTAGAGAGAGAGAGAGTGACGAATTGAAAGAGAAGTCCATTAATCTATTCTGCAACCTTCCATTTTTTCTCTTTCCATTTTCACAACCTTCCATTTTTTCTCTTTTCATTTTCAACTGTTTTTACAGACTCTGCAACCTTCCATGTTTTCTCTTTCCATTTTCAATTGTTTTTACAGAGAGATGTATACGGTTGAGCCTGAAGCCGTATTTTTTGAAAATCCACGCATGATCGATTGGTATTGTGAAGACTTATTGCTTGAAGATCCACACATTTTACAGCAAAATAATCTCAGATGAGAAAAAAAGTAACCATCCATATCGTCTTCTTTCTTGGTTCGCTTGTTTTTTATTTTTGAATCGAAGGCTTTTTCCTACTTTTGATTGCAATTTGAAGTGTTAAGTGCGGTGCAAATTGAAGTTTCAGCATGCTTTGGTGCAGTTTTCCTCTTCTAGCTTTGAGCGAGGAGGAGGCGTTGATGAAAGAAGATATTGATTGCACCAATGCTTAATTCCATACAACGAAATTGAGGAACTCAACCCCATATTTTCCATTCTGCCCAGCCCACCTATGGACATCGTTCCTTACAGCAACAAATACCTTGGTATCTCTCTCCCTCTCACTGTAGGAAACGCACTACTCGGCCCCAGAACCCGGCCCTAGGCCAGGTCGAGTCCGAGTAATTCGGCTAGAGTTAGCCCAAAAAGTGTTAAAAGAATTTAAAAATATAAAAAACCCAGAAAATAAGAAAAATACGATTAAAGTAAAATTAAACAAAACATATCTAAATAGGTTAAAATAGTAGTGAAAAAATGGATTTTTTTTTAAAAAAAGGTGCAGTTGGCATACAGATGCATCTGTAGAAAAAAAGGTGCAGGTGGTATACAGATGCATCCGTAGGTGAAGAGTCAAGGTGCACCTTCAAATTTTATCATGGTATATAATTTTGATGT